GAGATAGGGCCTTTCCAGGGGTCATGAGGTTAAAATGAGGTCACTAAGGTGGACCCTAATTCAATACAACTAGTGTCCTTTTAAGAAGAGGAAATTTGGAAGCAGAGACAGGCATGCACAGAGAGTAGACGATGTAGAGACAGAGAGAGAGGACAGCCATCTGTAGGCCCAGGAGAGGGGCCTGGCACACTTCCTTCCCTCACAGCCCTCAGAGGATCCAACCTGCTGATTCCAGGACCTTGGACTTTTGGGCTCCAGAACTGTGAAACTGTACATTTCTGTCATTTAAGCCACTAGTCCGTGGGACTTTGTTATAGGAACCCTAACAAACTATTACATTCCTCAAGAAAAACTACTGAGCAAAGGAACGAAGACATGGGACACGAACATCCTGGAGGAGAGGGCTGCCGATGTCTGGTGGGTGTGACCGCCAAGAAGCCACATTCACAGACTACCCTGTGACCAAAGTCCCCAGCCTGGATGCTATAGACACAGCCTCTGGACCTGCTGAAGGAGAAACCTCCGAGTCCGGTGCCTGAATTATTCATTTGCCGTCTTTGATGAGACCCACTGAAGATTTTAGGCCAGGAAGGAATGTGCTATATTTGCATTTCAGAAAGGACCCTGTGACTATTGTGTGTGGAGGACAGATGAGGCGCAGTGTGGAAGAGACTGGAGGTGGGTTCACGTGAGAGATGAAGGGGCCCAGGGAATATTACCGAGTTGTCAGGAGGCATCACTGCCTGGGGGACTGAGATACAGGTGGGAGGCTGAGGAGGAAGGGGCTTAGGGGTGAGAGGAAGTCTCTGGCTTGAGCACCTGGTGAGAGTGGTGTCACCGGGGTAGGCCTGGGAGGAGGAGTGATAGGTCTGCTTTCAGCACATAGGTCAGCATTATCCGAGGGACAGCACCCAGCTGCCCAGAGCCCATCAGCAGTGGGAGATCAGGCCTGGGGTATAGATGTGGATTTGGTGTTCATGGGGGGGGGGGGGAATTGTGCAGGAGGAGTGGGAGTAAGCTGATCTCCGAGTGGCAGCCCTAGAGATGAGCATTTGGGAGAGGGCAGCACGGGGAAGGAGAGGGGAAATGAGACAGGGAGAGGGGAAGAAGAGGGTGTGTCAAGGTGGGCAACTAGGGCTCAGTCCCACTGGGGACCTTTGAGAGACTGGAGGCTCAGACTTCCCATGTATTCCTCTGGAGGGGCAAGAGGCCCACCTCTCACTGGTGGAAGATTGTTCCTGAGAGATAAACTCTGGTATTTCCAGTCCCAGCATGTGCCTGGGGCCAGAAAAGGGCCTCAGTCAGGGACTCAGGAAGCTGCAGGAGCTGTAGGCAGGTGACCTTCAGGGCCAGTCAGGATATGGCCAGGCCACTGATGGCTTATGCCACTCTTTCTGCAAACAGTCATGTCCACCTTCCTGTGGGGAGAGAGGAGGTGCCTCCTTCAGGAGCTGTGGAACTGAGTTGTAGGTCAGGCAGCAGGGCTGGCTGTCAAGGGGATCCTGTCACACGGGGCTAAAAAGGCTTTTCTAGTATCAGCAAAGGCAGTAGAAACAGGAAACAAAAGTTGTTTAATGTGCAAATCATTAAAAAAATAATGATCTCACCCCAGGGTGTTCAAGAGCCCTAAACAGCTGTTAATGAGCTTACAGCAAAAGCATGGAAAGCAGCCAGCTGAGGCTGGGGTAGGCTGGGGTTGGAGTGGGCTGGGGCTGGGGCTGAGGTGGGCTGGGGATGGGGTGGGCTGGGGCAGTGGTGGGCTGGGGCTGGAATGGGCTGAGGTGGACTGAGTCTGGGGCTGGGTGGGCTGGGACTGGGTGGGGGGTTGGGACTGGGGCCTCCTCACCCTCCTGCCTGCCCCACACCCATCCAGTGCCTCTGCTTTGGAGTCCCATGGCCCTGGACTTCTGACCTTTATACCTCCAGCATATAGTGGAGCCTGGACTGGACACATAGTCTCCACTCCAAGGAGGTCAGGGCCCTCCAGGCCATTTCAGAGCCTTCCGCTAGGGCCCAGGCAACTGGGCCCAGGCAGATGGTGAGTGGTATCCCAGGAGGGAGCTGGCCTGTCCGGTTTTAACTGCCCCCAGATTAACTTATGAGAGAGGGTGCCACTCTTGGGTTTTCTTCTGGGGTGATGTTGTTGGGAGTGGTTGATGTCGGGGTGTCTCTGATAAGAGAGCAGGATGGGTGGGATTTGCAGGGGGGGAAGGTAGCGATGGGTATAAAACAAATGCCTCCAGGCAGGTGGAACAGACATGAGTGGGTGTTGTTAGTGCAGGTGGGGAGGGCTATGGATGTCGACAGGAAGGGGAAATGTGGGTGTCGGTTGGTATAAAGGTGTGGATATTGGTGACAGCGACTGGGCGTCAGGATGTCAATGGATGAGATTATAATAGCTCAGACTTTAGAGCACCTATTATGTTCCCATCACGGCTCTGTTTTACATAAATGTACTCATCTCATTTTTATAACAATCCCACAAAAGATACACTATTAGTACCCCCATTTTTAAGGGGGGGAATGGAGGCACAAAGAGGTTAAGTATCTGCTCAAGGTCATTCAGCTGGCAGATGGCAGGGATGAACGGGGCTGTCTGGTTCCAGAGCCCATGCTCTTGGTCCTTCCGTTCCTCATGGGACGTGGTGTGGCAGGCACGATGGGAGGTGGGTGGGCTGAGGATGGGGACACTCTGGATGGGGTGTGACGTCGAGGTGTGAACGGGTGGGGCGGTATAAATGGATGTTGCTGGGAACGAGGCCTGGGCCAGTACAGGAGGGAGGGCGTGTGTGCACTGGCTCAGGGAAGTGCTGGGCAGTCATTCCCAGGCATTAGCAGAGAAGCAGAATCACCTGGAGGGCTTGTTTATGGTTTGGGAGGTTCAGGTGGAACTTGAGAAGTGTTTTTCTAATACCATCCCAGGTAATGCTGATGCTGGTGGCCTGGGAAACTGACTTGGGAGCACTGGGACCGGAAACACGTATGAGTGATGGCGAAGAACAGGAAGTGGTATTTGAGGGAGCGAGGAGGTGGGTAGAGTGAGACTAGAACTGAGAGTGACTTTAGAAGTATGGGATGTTGCAGAAACCGGTTTGGCTCAGTGGATAAAGCATCAGCCTGGGGACTGAAAGGTCCCAGGTTTGATTCTGGTTGCCGCACCTTGGTTGTGGGCACATCCCCAGTAGGGAGTGTGCAAGAGGCAGCTGATCAATGATTCTCTCTCATTGTTGTTTCTAACTCTCTATCCCTCTCTCTTCCTCTCTGTAAAAAATCAATAAAATATATTTTAAAAAAAAGAAGAAGAAGAAGTATGGGATGTTGCAGCTATAGGAAGAATTCCACCGGTATGAGAGCAGGCATGATATGCTTAGGTAGGCGGAGGATAAGAAAGGGATGCCTGTGGCAGTGGCCTGGAAAGCTCCTCCGGTCCCTCTGGATGGATCTGGTGCTAGATGGGGTGCTCGATGTGCAAAGGTGGCGAGACAGGAGGCCCCTCTTCCCTTGGGGTCCCTTAGGTGCAGGAGGTTTCTCTATGTCATCAACTTTTCAGCTATAAATTACTAGTCTCTGCAGGGCCCAGAGAACTTGCGGGGTGAGTGGGGCCAAAACCTGTCGAGACAGGGTTTCCTCTCCTAGTCAGTCTAGTCTGTCACTCGTCATAGCTCTAGTATGAACTAAAGTGTAGGAGGTGGTGTTGGGGTGTTCAAACTAAACACAGGAGCCCCCACCAGAGGACTGTCTCTTGGACCAGGACGAGAAACACTGGAGGGACAAAGGATTGGACAACAGGCTGCAAGAAGGACAGTCACCAGTTTCCCCAGGCTGGGTCTACGGGGGTGACCCTAACTGACTGAGCCATGCCAAGGGTTGAGTCGTGTCCTCCCACAAAGATGTGTCCTCAATCCCAGTGCCTCAGAATGGGACTGTATTTGAAAATAGGGTTTTTATAGAGGCAACCCAGAGCAAATAAGGTCATTAGCATGGGCCCTTAGCCAACATGACTGGTGTCCTTAAAAAAAGGAGAAAATTTGGACACAGAGACGAACAGAGGGAAGACGACCGAAGACACCGGAAGGAGATGGCCTTCTGCAGGCCTGGCAGCGCCTGAGCCCCCAGGGCTTGTAGAGAATCTCCTCACAGCGCTCAGAAGGAACCAATGCTGCTCACATCTCGAACTCAGACTCCAGGCCTCCAGAACACCGAGAGGGTGTGTGGTTCTTTGTTCCAGCAGCCTCGGAAGGGAGCGAATGCACCACAATTCATGGAAGGAGCCAATGAGATGGCACTAACGACTGGCAAAGGCATTTGCTGTGGGTGGTATCACTGCTGAGGGGCTGGGCAGTGGACAGCACTGGGAGGTGACAGAGGTGACCTCAGGAGAGAGGAGTGTACTGGAGCCCAGCAGATGGCCATGGGAGGACGCTCCAGGGGCCAGTGAGCACTCCTGCTTTCTCTGGGGACGAAGAACAGAAGCTAAATTCCAGACAAGATGTCCCCGCACTCACAGTGGCCTCCTCACCACTGTGGGCCTCACAAAGGAACCTGACGGCTTGCACCACACGCTCCTGCTGCTTGTGGGGCCCTTGGGCCTCCTTTCTCTGGGGCACGGAGTCGGCAGAGCGAGCAGGGATGTGTCTGTGGCTGTGAGGACTCCAGGTTCAGAGGAGCCAGGCATGCATCTCCCCCAGGTAAAAAAGACTGCAAAAAAACCCCTTTTCTTAATAATAGTATTTTATTGACAGTTATAAATATTTTCCATTTGTCCCCTATTTACAGTTGCAAAATAGTTTATGATATTCACTACCTCCACCCACCATTCAGCATCTTTCTAGAAACTGCGTGAAAATTGAATAGGAAATAGAAAGCTTTTTAAGGGGGAGAGGGGCCCACCAACCTGGTTCCAGGACTTCCAACCACCCACACGGACAGCAGACAACGTTGCAGCAGGTGCTACACAGTAGCAAAGGGGCGGGCAGGTGGGCGGGGCGGGTCCCGGCGGGTCAGGATGCCAGGCTCCTCAGGACGTTGGTGATGCTCCAGTGCTGGCCCGAACACTTCTGCAGCACCAGCTGGAAGCCGAACTCCGAGTCGCTGTTCTCCTGCAGCTCCAGGCAGCGCTTGGACTTGAGGTTCTGGATGGCGCCTCCCTAGGAGCCAGGGCGGAGAGTGGAGTCAGAGGGTGTACAGGCAACATGGGGAGGTCTGGGAGCCTGAGGCCTGGCAGCTGGTGCCGGCTGGGACTACGTGTGCATCTAGATGTCTGAGGCTACGGGAGGTGTAGGGCCTGCATTCCCATGAAGCCTGGGGCTCCCATCTCTATGTTGGTCTCCTCCCTGAGAATGAACTTTTATGTAAGTGTAATTCTTCACACAGCCCTAGCTTTTCACTAGAACAGAGGCACCCCACCCCAATGTCCGTCTGCACAGCAGGGGTACAGCATGCTGGGTTGCTCCTATCTGGGGGTCTAAGCCCTACTTCCCATAACCATAGACTGGGGCCCTGCTCTGAAATGCCTAGTTCCTTGGGACCACCCCATGATTGGCCTGAATTTCAGTATCATCAGACCTCCTGCTTTTAGGGTCTGTGCTCCCAACTGGACCTCTATCAGTGCTGGTCTCAACCAAGTTCAGGCTCCTGGATTTTGTCTATAAGGCCATTGGGCTCCCTCATCCCTGGATATGCATGGTTTCCCCATGCTGCTGATATTCTGGAATGTTCTGTAGTCATGCACACTCAGTTTATACCCCAAACACCCTGGGGCTTTTGGCTATGTGTCAGGGTGTCAGCATTTTGAGAATCTCTGAGATATACTGAAAACATGCTCAGCTGGGCTTCGGCCTCCCAAATGAGCGGAATTGCTTGGGCTGGATGGTAGTCCATGTAAGTGGGCCCCTTATAGCTTAATGGTACTCGAGCATATGCTAAAACTCATCTTTTCCCCAGAACCATATGTTACTCATCTCAAACATAACCAGGCATCGTTATGGGAAAGCTGGGCATTCTCAGTATATGTCCCCCTCTCCCCAGCATCTCATTAGGCACCGATTCCTGACAATTCCACCTCCTTCAGGCCTCGTGACGGTCTCCTTATCTCTATCCTTTCGTACTTGCCCTGATTCAGGCCACCATCTCTCTCCCCTGACAACTGCATCAGCCTCCTCGCTGAGTCCCTTCCCATGTCAGGAGGCAGGGGGTAGTGATCCTTTTAATGCACATCTGGCCCAGAAGACAGAGCCCGGCTCTGTAGCTCATGCTCATGGTGTGGTGCTGCGTCTCTCTCTGGCCTGGTCCCCCACAACTTGCACACTTTGAACTGCAGCGATACCAAACTTCCTGTAGTTTGCCAAACCCATTTACATTTTCTCAAGATTCCTAGACTTTGAACAAGCTGTGCCCTGTGCCTGGGGTCCTCTCCATGCTCTGCTTCAGGCTACACCATAGTCACTGAAGGCTCGGTGCCTGCTCCTACCTCCAGAAGTTTCTCACCTTCCACCCAACCCCGCCTCCTCCTCCTCCTCTCCAGTCCCCTGGCTAGCATGGTATTCTCCATCTCCTTCTTTCTCCCACTCAGCACTTACTGCAGTATAGTAAATGTTCTTATTTACTTGTCTTTTCTCCCACTGGACTAAATGTTTTATCAATTCCTGTCTCTCAACATCTAGCAAAAAGCTTGAATGGAACACGACAGGTGATCATTAATCTGGCTATCATGACTTATAGGTAAGAAAGGAATTGGTCACAGGACCGAGTGATCATTCTCAGGTTCTCCCCAGGCTGGCCCTGGCAGGTCTGGCAAAAGAGAGAGGGAGACTCTGAGCCCACCCCCCACTGCACTCAGGTCTATCCCAGTGAACTGTGAGTGAGGGAGATGGAAGACCTTTCTGGAAGTCATCCCCAGTCTGCCACCACCTCCCCCCTGGTAACAACTGATATTGCAAGATCACATGGAGACTCAGTTCTCACACCTCCTAGAAAATGGGCAGTATCTGCCTCAGCTGAACAGACACTTCCCTGCTACCAACAACTGTACCTATAGCTGTATAACTAGCAGAAAGGTGTGCACCACAGACAGGCACCCAGGTGCCTTCTGAAACATGATTTGTAAAAGCTCCAATCTGGAAACAACCCAAACCCCCATCTATAGGAGGGCGGATAGAAAACAGCGGTGACTCACATCAAGGAATACTATGCAGCGTCAAAAATGGACATACTGGCGCTCTGCCCAAGAGGGGTGAGTTTCACAAATATAACATCAGCAAAGGAAACCAGGCTGAATATATACGTAATTCAACTTGTATAAACTTCCCAAGCAGGCAAAATAAAACCACAGTGTTCAAGTCAGGGTGGGGTTACCTTTGGGGTGGCAAATGAAAGGAAGCAAGAAGGGGGCTTCTGGGGTGCTGGTGGGGTACTCTTTCTGACCAGGGTGGTGCTTGCATAGTCATTTACTTGGGTCAGCTCCTGTTTCTCCACCACTTCCCTCTGACAGGGGAGGGTGGGGCCCATCTCCCTCAATTCCATGCTTTTCCATGTTGAGTTTTTTTATGGAAGAATTTTGTATACTTTTCCATCCTGGTTGCCCTCCTTTAGTTTTGTGTCGCTCAGAACTGACCACAAAGCACAGACCACCTCATTTCCGATAAATAGGCTCTTGTAATACAGCCAAGGAATGGGCACTGTTAGTGGCCACACCACAGTCCCGAACCATGAACCACGCTGGGACTGTGGAGGACAGCCTCAAGTTGTCCTCTCAGAGGCTGTGGTCCATCTTGAGGCCACATCCTGCCCCTCAAAGGCTGGATTTTTGGACACAGAGGCATCCCAGTGACACTTGCTCCAAACAAGGCTAGCCCATGGCTCTGCCTGGCCCAGTTTCTATGGCTTCTGTGTAAAAGCTCGCAGCCTCTAGGCCGAGCACATCTGCTGCCCACCCACAGGCTGGGCCATGTGGCTGGTGCTTCTTGGTGGGACTGTATCCAGCTTCTCCTGTCGCTCCAGCATCCGGCCAGCCCGGTGGTCCTACCCACTGCTGGGTGTGCAGCGCAGGCAGGGCTGGATGAAACCAGCCAGCTCTCTTATTCACGATGTCTACTGGGGGTTCCGCACTCCAGGGGGTGAGATGGAAAGGGGACAGTGCTGAACTTCTTTTCTGGTGGTCAGCTGTGTGGCCCTGGCAGCTGCTCCACTCTTATGATTCCATTATCTCTAAAGTCAGATGATCACTTCTGTCCTGATTACTGGAGGATGAGCAGGACAGATGAGAAATCCCTTTATCAGCTACAAACAACAAACGGATATGAGGCTGTTCATAGAATTGGGTGGGGGCTCAGAGAAAGTGCACAGCAAGCAGAGGGGGCCAGACCATGCGCCCTTCCATTCCACCGGAGATTTTGACTGCTCAGCATGTCCTCAGAGGCTGGGCCAGGCCAGGCCTTGCCAACAGTGGGGCTGCTTCAGCAACCCCTGGACCACGGAAGCTTGGAGGAACTGGTCCCAGACAGGAGGCCACGGCCCCCTCCTTTCCCACCAGCCACTCAGGAGCATTCTGAGCCTTCTGCAGGGCTCTGTGCCAGGGCTGAGAGAGGAAGACAGGGGCAGTCTCTGAGAAGTAAAGTGTTCCTTCAGAGACTCAACTATGACATTTCCCAGGCCCTACCCTGGCCCAACCATGCCCTCGGCACCCTAGAGACAGGAAGGGGGTGACCCTAGGGCAGAAACAGCCAGGGTGGCCTTTGGGAAGAATGTGGAAGAAATGGAATGAGGCCAAGAGCAGTGTGGGGTATGGAGAAGCACAGCCTCTGTGAGAGTGTGTGGGGCTGCAGGGAGGGCAGGATGTGAGGCCAAAGAGAGCTCCCTATCTGGAAGCTCCGAAAGGAGAATCTTCTACAATGGAGTAGTCAGGCCACCCTGGAGGTCCCAGTGAGCAGAGCCCAGGCATGCATCTTAGAAAGACATCTGGAATAGGGGGAGAAAGGCCAGGCCACCCCTTGGTACTAGAGCTAGCACTGGCCCCTGGTGCTATCTCCCTCGTGTCTTTCTTCTCAGACCGTGGCCTCTCTCAAATTCATGTTGAAGGCCTAATCCCCTATGCGATAATATCTGGAGGTGAGCATGGTACACTCATGAATGAGACACAAGAGGGATGACCTCTCTCTCTCTCTCTCTCTCTCTCTCTCTCTCTCTCTTTTATCTCTCTCCTCCCCTCTGCCCCCCCATCCCTACGAGGACAGTGAGAAGGCTGCCACATGCAAAGTGCAAAGAGGGTTCTCACCAGACACTGCATCTGCTGGTACCTTGACTTTTGGACTTCCCAGCCTTCACAATAAATGTTTGTTGTTTAAGCCACCTAATCTATGGTCATTTTGTTATAGCAGCCTGAATGGACTAAGACAAGCAGGGCAAGAGGGTTTGGGAATGATGGTGAGGCAGGCTGCAATGGTGAGAGGTGGTCAGAGTGAGCCTCACTGACAAGGTGAGACATGAGCAAGGCATGAAGGAGAGGAGTTAGCCCAGGGGATATCTGGGGAGAGTCCCAGAGCCCAGAGAAAAGCTCCCGCACCAGCAGAGGCCTGGTGTGTTCGGAGAACAGCACTGAGGCTCAGAGTAGGCATGGGGGTAGACGTACGAGATAAAGCCCAAGAGGTGAGTGTGGGGCAGGTTGTATGGGGCCTTAGAGCCACAGAATGGACTTTGGCATTTTACCTGGTGATGGGGCCAGCCATTGCAGAATAGGGCTGACAGGTTACCCATGTCACTCTGCTGTGTTGAGCATTAAGTGTTGGAGGGAGGAAGGAATCGGGGACCTGTTAGCAGGCTCTTGTCCTCATACCCAAGGCCAGCCAGCAGCCTCTGGGCCAAACCCAGGGCTCTGAGGGCTGAGGCTTGATGCAGAACGCCCCCCTGCCCCCACCCTCCTGTGGAGGGTGCAGTTACTTGGTTTACTAGTCCAGTCATCTAAATTATTTGTGTAATACTTACAACTACAGGATCTGGAAACACATAATACTTTTAATTAAAGAATTTAAATAAGGGCAATTAAACCTGGCAGGAGAGATGCTGTGGCAAACAGAGAGCTTAATTGGAAAAGGAACCAAATTAAATATGGAAACAGCATTAAAAAAAAACAACCCTAAAGCTGAATGTACAG